CAGTTCCAACCATCGCCATCGGACAAAGCAGCTGATGGTGAAATTCAGAAGTATTTATGGCATTGAGTGGGTGATTTGTAAAGGTATAAGGTAATGTCCTGCTATAGGACTCTTAAAAGGATGCACATTAACAGCAAATTTTGTATTATGAAAACTGAGATAACGCAAAGCAGCAAGATCACAGTTAGCTGTAGCAGGACCTGATCAAGGCCAAATAACCAGGCCTGGCTATGAACAGAAAAGCGTTATCAGCAAAGTAAACAGTCAGACCAGTAAGCGCTAACGGGAAGAAATTAGCTTGAGGGATAAAAAGCGAGTTACAGTACCTTAAGTATCATCATAGGGCCCATGGTAGCCGGATTAAGCACGGTCATGAAACAGTAAATTGAGAGGGGGTCGAATCTATGGGAGAAAAGACGCGTTGGATGCAAACCAGCATACAAGTCGAGGACATTCCAAAACCGAAAAAACATGCCACTCTTAAATTAAATGCTAATACTGCTTGGACTTACGTATTAATACTGGCAATGTTTCCCGTTCCGAAGAAAGAAAATATCAGTAGGAATACCTGAAAGAGCGGCATGAGAGAGCGACCATGATGTACACAAAAAGTATAGAAACGGGGAAGTGTGAAGCGTGAAGATAACACTACGACAGGACTTGACTTCCGACCATCAACTTTCATATCCAAAGAAAAATAATTGGTTGAAAACTCTTGTCTCTTGGAGGAAAACATTTACTATTGTCCAACTAACCAATTTACAGAACTGTGATTATGAGAAACATCTCTGAATAGGGATGAATTCCTGTCAAAACCCTTTAAAATTGCATGTCAAATTGAACACGAGTGGTGATGAGAGAACATTTCGCATTTATGAGGGCCAACCTTAATGAGATAGATTTCAAAGATTGAATTCTTACAGAACGGTTAAATTCTCCAAGATAGGATAAGATATTCAAATCTTCCTATTTCTACCCTCGTCACTTATTTATGCAGTAATAAAACGTAGTTGTCTTTTAAATGCAGGCATAGGAAACTGGAGTGTGTCGCGAAGTAAAATAATAAGCTGAAAAACGTACATAGAATACTGGCCTCCTTATGTGAACCAAACTGATTGAGGGCAGCTTTGACGGATCCCGTTCTGTCTGCGTCAAGTCCAAGACTAGATGAGAACGAAATGTCTAAAGCAAGGTAAAGGCAGGTAATTAGGAAGAATTTCGCAATGTAGGCTCCTTACAAAAAACATAAATCTGACGGCAGTATTTTAAGCTCTCGTATATTTTCCTTTTCAAATGAGGTGCTTATAAGCCACAGATGGCAACATCCTGACCGACAACAGCGGATGAGCACCACCTACCCAGTTTTTGACTGCCCATAAAGTACTCTTTCGCAGAATCCCGGAAACAAAATTCGGCGATATTCATATTTCCTGACCTATTCACCAGATAGACCACTTATTTATCGGCATTTATCAGTTGGAATATATTAAGCAAGTAGGGGAACTATCAAATTAAACGCGGGCAGAAATAAAAGAATGATCCAAATTTCATAAGATAAATTGGCGAGCATAGGTTTGTTTTCGAGAAATTATCTTCAGGTCTGTACATTTATATGGTGCTGAAATAAATAAACTATGCTGGTTGGTGGAAAGATGTAGTGCTGTTGTTGTCAGGGTCGGTGGGGAGATGGAGGGAATTGAGGTCAAAATGTCAATGTCTAGGCGGACCGGCGGCCAAGACAGGTGGTAAGGTGCGCGCGGTTGAATTGGGGGCTTGTCCGTCCCTGGGGGGTCCGTTTCTGAGGCCGGTGATAAGCAATGTGCGATTGTGTTAGCGATTTTCGACCATGGTAACTGCGGCGCTGCTACCAAGTTCTTTTGAGCGCACAGTCCCGATCTGCGTAGCCTGATGACAGTACATCTTTCCAGCAATCAGTATAGTTTATTTATTTCATTACCACATAAATGTACAGGCCTGAAGAGAATTTATCGAAAGCTAAAAATACTCACCAATTTATCTTTTGATTTTTACAAGAGGGGCTTTTGTAAATCCAAATTTCGGCAGTTCAGAATACAAGTGTCGGTCCTGTACGCCCGGAATCACTTACGTTACCCTGCATTCCCCTGGTAGCAACATTTTCTATTAGAAACTGCGACCCCAACTGGGTCAGTTATCGATGGCACGTGAAAGCAGGTCTGTGCCTGTTGTCACATCCTCAAAAGGCCAGCCTGACAGTCATCCGTGGCTGAGTTGGAAGTTACACTGAAATGTGTTAGCCATTTAAGCCTGCCTCCTTCATAACAATTCTCGATGAAATTGCTTTATGAAAGTATTTGATAAAAATTACAGTTAACCCCAAAGCGCATTCTGGAATTGAGACTAGGTAATACCAGAGGCATCTGAGATTCAACCTCCTCAGCAAAAAAGGTTAGCGATGAACCCCGGTATGAAATATGCGCTCTCGGCATGCCACAAATCCTTGTGAAAAACGGATATGGGTGTCTCTATGGGGATGACGTAGAAAATGAAGGTATTGCATACCCTATGCATTTAGTGGGCAGTATCTATCCAAATGACAAACATTCAGCGATATTTAGATAAAGTGATGAGACCAATCAGAGGCTTAAGTCTAATCCCGTCATTCATTAGGTCCAAGGCACTGCCAAAATGGCTGAAAAACCGTCGACGAAAACATTTTAACTGAATTGAGCATTTTTAATAATTCAGTCATGTGTTTCGGTCCCGAGGATGCATTAGTGGCACGCTAACCCAGTAAACACTCCCACTGACTGATTCATATGGCCTAGTCATATAGAAAGCCCAAAACACATGAATTAGTAAAGTGTGAAAGTGCTTACATCGTGGAAGGACAATCCACATTCACACCAGATCCAAAGAAACGTTATGACAGCGAGGACGAGGAAGAAAAATCCCTCGTAGCTTTTATCTTTGAGTTAAGGAAGCTGTACGGAAGTGACTAGACATAATAATGAACAGAGGGTAGAGTAATGGATTTGACGAAGATTCCATGGAACTATCAATAACAGTAAGTCCTAATAAACGTCCAGTTCGCAGGGGACTATCATTCCAAATGGGCGACACCGTTTTAGAAGAAACTTGTTAAAAGTTCGCAAAGCAAGGAATTCAGTCATATTATCCCTGTCTATCAATAAATGTTGATATTAAAAGGCAACTGATAAATACAAATAAGTAAGATAGAGGAGTAGAAGGCGTGGCGATCACCGGAATCATACTTTTTACTTGTCTAAGCTTTGATGGCACTATCGGTTGACTTTTCCCTCTCCCTCCCCCCCCCTTCCCCCTCCCCTCATAACGGTTGATTGGTCCCTGCATTT